TATGCCTTAGTTTTGATTATTTATAAGTTCTTGGCTCTGACCAGAAGTAATATAAACGCCTCCACTTCTTCAGAAGACAGGTTCCCATTTTCCATTCCAGATGCTAATCCTATCGCTCTGGGACAACAGGTACAATTGCAGGAAGTTCCTGTCAGCATTAGGTGGAAGCCCTGACACTGCTCCTCTCACTCAGGTCTTTTCCTTCTCAACTCCTCATACAGCCCCCCAAGTGGCTGGCCGGGGCCATGCCGCACATCTTAGTGAAACAACTCTGTATCCTGAACAGAAGTTATGTTGCCTTAAAACCAGCAACATAAGTTTGAGATTTCCTAGGGGGTCAATCTGGGCAAAAACATGAGACCAGATAAGGGTAAACAAACACAGATGAACATTACACTTAGCAAGAGTCCCAAAGCCTTGCCCGAGGTGCAGGAAAAGTGGAGGACATTTCGCTGATGTACACCCAAAGCCAAGTGCCAGCAGCTCAGTTTGCTTTAGACCCCTCTCTCTGCTGCCCCAAGTCCTGCTCTGTTATACCCTCTTCTGAGATTAATCCTTTCCTATGAAGGACAGGCTATTTTCTGGGGTTTTTATTACCTTTTGTTTTTTGACCTCCGTTAAAGGAAAAACAAAATCTTAGCTGTTCTCCTAAAGATCCTTTTTCACAATTTCAATCACTTTCCTAAAAATGATTGTTATTCCAAAGTAAAGCATTTTATTAAGAGAAGTATTTTTTTGTAATTTCTTTTGTTTTTAGGTCAATCAAAAAATAATCCTTAAGCTTTTTTCTCAAGTCTCAAAAACAAAGAAATTGCCATTTCAGCTCAGACATGCAAAGAACTTGGTAACTGTCACTTCTATCCTGAAAATAAAAAACGGGACAAACTGAAGATCAACGACTTTTCTCTGACATGTCAGAGAACGGGGGTTGCAAGGCAAACCACTAACCCCCAAATGTGGAGAAACATGCAAAGCCAGAGAGGTATGTCACTTTGCAGCAGACGTCAGTGGAGGCTGTGAAGAGTAGGGCCACTTACCTGACCAGTAGCCAGGACTAATTACCAGAAGCTAAGGGCAGGGTGAGAATATCCTGGGTCTATAGTCATAAAGGAGACTCCCACGTGTTAGTGGGCTTTCCTCCCAGTAACTATGCCCATAAAGTTCTCATGGTAAGGATCTAAGAAAACTCCCCATGTGAATCTGGCAGGAAGAAGAGAGGAAAAGCCATTGTTAAACCTCCTAAACTCTCTTCCCTAGCAAGGGTGACAGACTGTGCCAGAAGGAGCACTGAAAGCTTATTCCAGTCAGAGGAAGAGAAGCCTGCCCACCCCAGCCCTTGCAGCCTTCCTGACTCCTTGGGAAAAAATTTATAAAAAACCCAAAACTAACAACCCCCACCTCCTCCAATGAACAGGGGGAAAAACCTCAAGAAAATAAGACTAGGGATTCTTTATCAGGCACATGCATGGGGATGGAAGCAATCCTCATAGACAGGGGACAGAAAGACCTATAAAGGTGACAATCTCAAGACATAGGCCGGCTGAACCGAAAGAGTGAGGCTTAATCAGGTCCTAGAACACACACTATTTCCCAACACCTTACCACAATACCTGCACAGCTCTAGTAAAATAACACCAAATCACAGCTAAAAGAGATGCAAGACACAGACCCTCTCTGAGGAAGAATACTTAGGGAAACCCAAATTCAAGAGAAAAGACAATGACAAGGGCACTAGAAGAATCTGACGCTTCTTGTACCTATGGCTACAAAAAACATTAAACACAGCCCAACTCCCAGTCAGATTAACAAAAATCCTCACACTAAAGGCAAATATACTTCAGTTCCTGTTACCTGATACAACATGCCTGGATTCAATAAAAAACTACAAAACATGCCCCCCCAAAAAAGAAACAATCAAGAGATAAAAAGCAAGCATTGAAACCAGATTTAGATAAGACAGAGATGTTGTAGTTAACAAACAAGGAATTTAAATAACTATTATTAATATGTTCAGGGCTCTGATGGGGAAAATTTAAAATGTTTTGAAATGCAAAGATAAAAAAAACTCCAAGACAAACAAAATAGAACATCTCCGAATAATGGGACAGTATCCAAACTGCAATACTAGAAGGAGAAGAAAGAGAGAATGGGACAGAAAGCATTAAAAGATCTAGTAATGTCTGAAAACTTTCCAAAATTAATGATGGACACCAACGCACAGATCCAGAAAGCTCAGAAGACACCAAGCAAGTGAAAATATTGAAGGAAGCCAGAGGACAAAAGCACCTTACCTATAAAGAACCAAGAAGAGTTGTATCACATTTGTCCTCAGAAACAATGCAAGCAAGACAAGAGTGGCAAGAAATCTTCATAGTGTTGAATGAGACAAAAGAGCTAACTGATAATTCTATATTCAATGAAATTATGCTCTAAACATGAAGGAGAAACAAAGACCTTCTCAGACAAACAAAAATGGAGGGAATTCATCACCAGTAGTCCTGCCATGCAAATGTTAAGTGAAGTCTTTCAGAAATAAAGAAAAATGAAATGTGGAGGGGGCGTGACATATGGTGACAGAAGATGGTTTGACTTTAGGTGGTGGGCACACAGTGCAACATACAAATCTAGTGTCATAAAGTGTACACTTGACACCTACATGATCCTATTACCCAATGTCACCCCAACATTGTATAAGAAAGAAAAAAAGGGGCAATGATATACATAAGTCAGAAACAATCTACATAAAGAAAAAATGGAGTATCAGAGAAGAAATAAATTAGGGTAAAATCTAATCTTTTATTTTTCTTAATTGATCTAAAATTCCAGAGCATCTAATCAATGAAATGAATGACAAATATGAGAGATGGAAGGGAGGAATTAGGTATTCTCTATTATGTATGTGACAGCTACATTATTATATTTAAAGCCTTATCATGTTATTTGAAGGTAGACTTAGATTATTTAAAAATGAATATTGTACATTTAAAAAATGTATATTAGCAACCACTAAAGAAGTTTTTTAAAAATCAAATATAAGTAGTACATCAAAAGAGGATATAAAATGGAATCACAAAATGTTCAATTACCAAAATTAGAGAAGGCAGAAAAGGGGGGAGGGGAGACAAAAAGCAAATGCAGGGAAGTGACAATGCAGACTGTGCAACTCAGTCCAGGTAAGTCACTTCAAATCTGAATAGATGAAACACAGCCATTGAAAGACAGAGATTGTCAGGTTGGATTAAAAAAAGATGCAGTTATGTGTTCTACAAGGAACTCACTTTAAACATAGGGAATCACATAGGTTAAGAAGTAAACAGATGGTGAAAGACACACCATGTTAATCCTCATCAAAAGAAAGCTGGAGTAGCTATCTCAGTTTAAGATAAAGTAGAGTTCAGGAAAAAAATGAGGGACTTTAAATAATGATAAAGAAATTAATTCTTCAAAATAACACACTCTGTATGTGCACAAACCTAACAGAGCATCAAAAATATATAAAGCAAATAGAACTAAAAAATAATAAACAAATCTGTTATTAAAAAAAGATGTGAATCAGAAGTATGTTCCAAGTCATAGAGGACATAAATCACAGAATCCACACCCTTGTTTTAGAAGTGATCTCAAAAAGCAAGCCAAAATTCCTGTGAAGACAGTCTGAGTTAGTAAACAAACTGCAGGTCCACAGGTATTATATTTATGTCCCACTAACATGGAGTGTGAAATGTTACGCACAGACTTGCGTTCCATCAGCTCTATTACACTATCTACTTTGTTAGACTTTGGCACATGGAGAAGAAATATTTTATTTTGCTCAGCTTTGATTTCCTCAACACCTGGCAAGGTTTTTGACTTGAATAAATACCCAATAAATAGCTCCTGAATTTTACTATTAAATTATGTTCATCGTTATTTAACTGTACAAGTATGCTACTATTCTATTAAAAAATAAAAAGTCTCAGTTGCATATATTTTTTAAAATAGGAGATTATGGTTTTACAGTCATCCCCCACTGTTTTCAAACCACCAAGGGATATAATAACATAGTTAAAAACAATTATTGTGAATACACAAATAGTTCACAGGGTTAAGGTACCACACTGTTTTATTATTAATTAGCTTTGCTAATTTATTCATCTTAAATGATCCACAAACTAGCAATTCAAAGTAAATGACATGGATAGAATGCCAAAATTAAGAGAAGTAGATCTGTGAAAAGATTAAAAATAAATGTAAATGTATGTACAGTATAGAAGTATAACTCTTAAGGAACTGATGAACTTTTAAATACCAGAATTTTATGAATTTAAATTGTATATTAGGGCATAGTTAAATGATTTATAACTCTAAAATATGCAAACAAAATGCAAATGTGGAAGGAATACATTATTAGGTAAATCATAGAGTCCAAAGATGAAAGATGTGGAATAAACATGATTATTTTATTCAGCTTTTTCATATGTATAATTTGAATAAGAACAGAAAAGAAAATATATTATTCAATGTCATGTCTTTAAATTATGTAGTTTAGCATTCATCTTTGATACATTTCTATCTGGCTAGGTTAAATTTTAAAAATCTGAAATTTCAGTCACTTTCATAAAATTCAGAAGACCAACATCATATCTTTAGGTAAAATTATTTTGCACTGAGGAATACTGTTTACTATAAGTTTCCAAGCTTCTTCAGATAACAGATGATTTCCATTTTACTATTTGGACATGCCCCATATATACCCAACAGGCACAAATCTGATGTCCTAAAATAGGGCACATAGGGACAATTATTTACTGGATAAAATGTACTGATATTCTTCTCCCTCTATCAAAGAATTCTTTCAAAGCTTCTTTAAAATATCACTATTTGATTTATTGAAATTCAATTTCCCTCAACTTTTCAACCAAAGTGATTATGAAAAGTAAAGTACATTTCCATAGGCTTATACAAACGTGATGTTCACTCTGAGTCAGGCAGGGGAATGGGAAATACCATGGACCACTTACCTGACATGCATTATAAAGGAGCTGGTGTTCTAGTTTTTTAATACCCAGAATCTGCTGAAACATTTCATAGAGCTGTTCCTTGCTCAGAATAAGTTCAGACACTGCACTTAGGGTCATTCTATTTGGCTGTTTGCACAAGTCCTCTTCACCCCTGTAAATGGCATCATATTTGGCTATCCATGAGCTCAGCACTGTCTCTTTGCTTAAGCCATCAATTTCTGGCAGGCTTCGCACACGTTTTTCTATGTTCTTCTTAAACACTTCTCTGAAGTCATTAGCAGAACATCCTCCACTCTGAACCATTCTGGCCACTCGATCACTCTTCAAAAAAACCTGGAAGAAAAAAGAACAAAAACCCATTTGAAACTAAGCAGGGACACTAACACCACTTGCTTTTAGCAATCTAGCCAGAGTTATAGCACCAAACATTCTACGGTGATTCAAATTTTAAAATACATGGTAACTAATGACCTAACAGGAGACCCAAATCTTATTTCTCAAATGTTGAAATATTTAGACGAGACAGTATTGAGCGCTGAAGACCTGTGATGATCCAACTTGACCCACACACACGCAGAAGATGAGGCATCTCTGACAGCTGAATCCTTTAAGAGTTCATTAGAAAGTAATTGGAAATATGAACCCAAATCCCCTACTCTACTTGGGAGTTCTGACCAGTTCTTCAGCAGAGATAAGGTCCTCTATTGTTTGAGCAAGGATCTAAAGGCCAAAAGCATGGTTAAGTCCAATATCTAAGTCAGTACCTAACACATATAACTGTCATTCACAACTGCTTCGCACCTGGGAGTTTAGGGTACACCTGACTCCATCCTTGATTTTACCAGTCCTCCAACTTCTCCCACACTTCTCATAGCCAGGAAGAATGCATGATAAAAGAAATACAACCCTGGGACTCAAATCAATGAAGTGGCCCAGAAGAAAGCAAATAATGGCCAAACAGAAAAGAGTCAAGGAGCAAGAATTCAAAGAAATGAGGAGAGTCTTAGGAACCTCCAGGACATCTTTAAACGCTCCAATATCCGAATTATAGGGGTACCAGAAGGGGGAAAGACACAACCACCAGTGGAAAAATTATTTGAACAAATAATAAAAGAAAATTTCCCCAATCTGGCAAAGGAAATAGACTTCCAAGAAATCCAAGAAGCCCAGAGAGTACCAAAAAAGTTGGACTCAAGAAGAAACACACCAAGGCATATCATGATTACATTAGCCAAAATTAAAATGAAGGAGAGAATCCTAGAAGCAGCAAGAGCTAAGGGGACAATCACCTACAAAGGAGTCCCCATCAGACTGTCAGCAGATTTCTCAAAAGAGACCTTACAGGCAAGAAGGGGCTGGAAAGAAATATTCCAAGTCATGAAATCTAAAGACCTACAACCAAGATTGCTCTATCCAGCAAAACTTTCATTTAGAATGGAAGGACAGATAAGGTGCTTCTCAGATAAGATCAAATTCAAGGAGTTCATCATCACCAAGCCCTTATTATATGAAATGTTAAAGGGACTTATCTAAGAAAAAGAAGTTAAAGAAACATGAACAGTGAAAGAACAACAAGCTCACGGTTATTAACAACCACACCTAAAACGAAAGCAAACTAAAAGGACAGCTAGATCAGGAGTGGAAACATAGAAATGAAGATCTCAAGGAGGGTTAGCAACAGGGGAGTGGGAGGAGGAGATGGGGGGAGAAGGTACAGAAAATAAGTAGCATAGACAGTAGATAGAAAATAGATGGGGGGCAAGAATAGTTTGGGAAATATAGAACCTAAAGGACTTGGGATACATGGACATAAACTAAAGGGGGGTAATGGTGGGGATGGGGGGGCAGGGTGGAGGGGAATGAAGGGGGGAATAGAACAACTGTAACAACATAATCAATTTTAAAAAATAAATTAAAAAAAATTAAAATCAAAAAAAAAAAAAAAGGTAAAATCTCTAAGAAACTCTTAGTTGTCCACTAATACCAGGTAGAAAACAATGACAACCACAAAGAGAGATGCTCATGAAATGGGTAGGAAGAAATGGGTAATAAGTAATGAGGTCATATTATGTAAGAAACATCAGACAGCCTTAAATCTTTCCTTTCTTCTTAAGTTATGGACCCAAATATACACAACTGTTGGTCATGATTCATTAAACATGTATTCTGTCATCAATATTCCTAAGTATCCTCTACAAGAGGTAAAAATGCTTTTATTCCTGCTTTTCTTTTTCTACAATGACAAACTGTTTTAAAAGAGTCTGCAGGACTATGCATATTTAATGTAACCTCCTCAAGTTATATCTGTTATTATAGGTACTCCCAGGTTATGACCCTATTACTTGGATTATGCTACCAGCATGTCTGTCTGTCTGCCTGTGGGCAGGCGGCGTGCAAGTCCCATACCAAGTGGCCTGCCTCATCCACTGATTGGCATGCTCAGTGCCTGACGCCTGACCCCTGACCCCTGACCCCAAGCCTTTTCCCCAGCATTTCACATCTCCCCTTTCACATAAATTATTCTTGCTTCCTGCCCTTGCCCAATAGACAGAGTGTTCCTGATTGTCAAAAATTCTGGGTGACTCACAAATGTACTGAACCAGGGAAACATGTACAACATATACATGCGATGCTTCCTCTGTCTCTTTAGCAGCTGTGGCTCAGTTACTTATTATAAAAAAGACTGTCCTATTTTCTAATTTTCTGAGCCAAAACTAATTAATTCTAAAGTTACAGATATAATAGTATTTCTAATATAGCTAGATGAAGACACATGTAATTAAGATCTTTAACAATATATTTTGTCCAAGAATGCCATTAACTAGTTCAGAACACATAGCGTAGCCATCTTCTTTCGCATCTTCATCTAATTGCACTATTCATATTGGGCATCAGAATTCAAAATAAATGATATATACTTTTCTTAATTTCTATGGTAGCTGTATCTGAATTAGGAACATAAGAAAACTCAAGCAATCAATGAGGGTGAACAGTGGCGGCTGTCAACCTACTGTCTTTCAGCGCTATCTTCCCATTGCCCTGCTTATACTAGTGAGGACAATTTTAGAGGGTGGTGAAGGGACACTGGAGGAAGAAGAATTCTTCTGTCTGGTTCTCTCTTACCTGAAGGCTCATGGCACCAAACCATGGGCAGCTTCTCTCCAGACCACTGATGGTGGCTTCATACTGTACCACCCCCACTGGCAGATCTGGCAGATTCCCAGTGAGTCCTGCAGGGCAGTGCCTCCCTGGGAAGATGCCCCTCTGGCCTCCCAGAACAGATTTCCATGAAGTTCACTTCCATCAACTTCTCTGCCACTCAGTGGGACATAACCACATCTTGTCCAATGAGGTCTGGACTCCAGCCCTTGAAGATGTGGGAAGTGGACCCTCTTCCAGATTTCTTCCTTCATTGAATGCTGTGCTCCCTGAATCTGCTACTCCTGTAGCCTTTAGTTTTCTCTACCCATTGCAGTCAGTTCCTCATTGTTTATATCAAACTTTCCTTGTTCAATTACTCTGTGGCTTCTGGCTCCTGATTGCACCATGACACAGAAATACTAAAACACTATATATGTAATATTATCTCCATGGGAAAATATTTGAAGTTTTAAGGAAAACATTTCAAAATGTGTAATTATGTATAAACTGTAATGGCAAGAGGGTTTGAAAGTGCAATGCAAATACCTTAAGACTGGCTTCATAAAAACTTCTAATTACTTGACATTTATACTCTAATTTGGCAGGCATTTCATTTTTTTCCAACTTCTTCTGCCTAACACGGTCAGTGCTAAATTCCACAAAGTAATCAAACCTCATTTTTGAAGCAAGGACACTAATGAACTTAAGGATTTGGATTCTTAACTTACTCTGTAAAAACTGTACCTAAAGCCATACTAACTTTGTCTGACTACAGGCTATTTAATTGATATTTACAAGGTATTAACAATGTGTCACACATTTTGTTAAGTGCTAGGGACACAAAGAAAAGTGAACCTAAGACTCTGCTCTCAAACAGCTCATGCTTCCCAAGAGAGATAAACAATAAAAATGCAATCTGGTAAGAGCAATAACAAAAACCTATGCAAAGGGAGGAACAGCTAAGGAAAAACTCATTCACTCTATTGAGGAAGATCAGTGGCAGCACAGGATAAACACAAAATTGACTGGACCTATGGATTGAGTGAAGGCAAAAGGGAGAATAGAATAAATTTCAGGAAGATAAAAGAACAGGAGTGGAAAAGCATAGAGGGATTCCACAGCATGACCTTTTAAAGAAATGAAGAAATTTCATATTGCAGGAGCCTTAAATATAAAGGTGAGAACAACAAAAGTTGGGGCCAAGCAGACCAAAACAGACCAGACTACAAAATGCAGTATGTGCTAAGCAAGGAATCAGAGATTGCTCTGATGACTTGGAGTGAGTGATGTCGGTGACCAGGTACTAAAGTGTTGAAACCCATGATTCAGACAAACAGCTGGTGGTAGCATCAAAGGTAGAGGACGAATGACCAGAGCAGAGACTGGAATATCAGTTATGAGAGGAGGGTAGCAGGCCAGGTGAAAGAGAAGGGCCTAATCTAGGGCAAAGATCATTGGTTAGAGAGAGAGGTAGAAGCAAGAGAGACAGCTGAGACATACAATTAACAGAGCTTGGTGTCTTACAGAATGTAATTAAGTAAGGCAGGAAAAAATATTATAATTCACAGTTTTTGTACTTGGGTACCTGGACTCCACCTAACCAAGAATACAGAACTAAATAATAAAGAAAGAACAACATGTGTTTGATGTTTGTTATGGTGGCTAGTCATGGATAACTCAGTTTTGGTAGATGTCAGCTGTGAAGACGAAGTACAGTAGAAATAAAAAGAGTCATGAATAAAACTCACACACCTCCATTTAAATGGCTGCCAGAGAAACTGGATCCAGGGGAGGCCAATGGTGTCAGAATACCAGAGGGAAAAATATGACATATTAGCACTTCAGTGGAGAGAGAATAGAGAGGGAGAGAGAAGGAATACCAAGCACTACAACGGAAATCGGCTAAAGTAACAACAGAAGTTACTGGTCTTTGTCACAACGAGGTCACCTTTGGCAGAAAAGATTTAATGGAGTGGTGAATAATGAGAGCCAACTGGCAGAAGAAAGAAGAGGACAAGTGGCAATAAATTTAAGACAGCAAATATAAAATGTTCTTTTAGAAAGCTTGAATGAGGTGAGACTTCCGGCCAAGTGGCCTAGGTAAACATGACTCAACTCCTTACACAACCACATCAAAATAACAACTGAACTACCTACCGAAAAACCGTTGTTCAGAACTATAAGTAATTGAG